GGGGTAAAACTTACAATGCAAGTAAAAGTATAAATGTATGTATGTTTTAATATACATTATTTTATAGGATTATTATTACTCATGCTAAACATTTAACTAGCTGGTCAATGTATCATATTAACATTAACACAGTAACTATAGCTACCGATTAAATGTGAAGTAAAATGTATAATATTTCCCTCTGAAATGTAGTGGAGTAAGAGCAAAGAAGTAGCCCAGAATGGAAATACTCAAGTACATCTACAAGGTACAAGGTGTCTTTTTGTGTCTGTTTTACTTAAAGGCCTAGAGATTATCTAATAATGCAGGAAGACCCCCTATTTTATTATTTCAGTTTGCATTGCTAGTGGACATAAACTGGACTTGGAACCTTTAGGCCCCCTGATGATCACAGGCCCCAAGACCATTCCCAATTTTAACCAGCTTTAGTCAGCCATAACAAAATAATACAGATAATATAGTGTGTACAGTATTTATAAATCTGCACGCCCTCACTCTTTCTCCCTCATATACAGTCAGATACACCAGTATAGACCTCTCAACTCACCGGGACCATGGAGTAAGTCATCATCATCATCATGTCATCCTGCACATGTGCCTTGTGGTAACTCTGACTGTGTCGGTGTTTGTGTTTCATTTCATGCTTCATCCTCTTTTCTGTCTCCTCTCCCACCTCCTGGCTGACCTCCTGCTCATGGACCTCCTGTCCCTCCTCCTGATGAAGCTCATGGAGCAGCTCCTTCTCCAGCTCTTCACTTCTCTTATTCCTGGAGTTCTGGTATTGGTATTGGTATTGCGGATGTTCCCCCACGGTCGCCTGTATCCCCGCCGCTTGTCTTGGAACCTCCTGGAAAAACTCCACCACCGAGCTCTGCTGCACCTCTGTTAGCTTTGCCTCTGTCTGCTCTAGCAAGGAACGTTGATGATTCTGCTGGACCAAGAGGACCAGAAGGCCCACAGAGTTCATCAACGCCACAACACACGTCCCATACAGCACCATCCGCTGAAGGAGAGTCATGCTGGGAGTCGGGATCCACATGGTTACCACTTCTGCTCCTCTTTTCTGAGAGTCACCCACCAGCCTCGGCATTCACAGGGGAAAATACAATACCAGTACAGCAGTGAATATAAAAGACAAGTCAAACAGACAAGTCTTATAACCTTGTAGCTGAAGATGCCGCCACCAAAAATCAAATCAAACCTCCCAAAGCCAAACTAATCCAACAGGAAGGAAGTCCTCTGTTGAAATTCAAGGTCCTGTCCAGATTATTTCAAAGCTCCAAACAGAGTTCAGTCAGCTTCAGCATCTGTGCTCCACCCGGGTGGTCTATCTGAAGGCAAACTGATAAATACAGTGCTTGTTGTGTTGTTCGCCAAGTGGAGAAGGGGTTGTGTGTGTGTAGGTGTGTGTGTGTGTGTGTGTGTGTGTGTGTGTATGTGCCCATACAAACCAGTAATGTAGGAGTGGGCATTACACAATCTTCTGGGCTTGTCTGGGAAGAAACCCCCGCCTGTTCAGTCACCTGATTTATATTCAGCACAACCCATTCTACTGCACCGCCGTGGGCAGACTGACATCACACATACACACACACACACACAGAGGCATGCACATATGTATGATGTACGCACGGAAGCACTCACATACATAACAAATGAAGGCATGCATTACACCAGACAAACTGACTGGTCATTTATTTTTACATACATACATTATTATTATTATTATTATTATTATTATTATTCCAGAACCAGTATTGAATGAGAAGAAAATACATGACATCAAAATGCATTAACATCATTATAGTTTGAGTTGGTTGGTTGGTTAGCCCCCTCTTACCCAACTCCTGTATCCTCCCTTCATTTCTTCCCCTCAGCGCTGGTCCTTGTCACATCCTCGCAGCTTCCATCCACCAATTGCAACGGTGACCCATTTCCTTTGCTTTGATTTGGGCCAGAAAAGTGACATTTCACCAGAAAAATGACAGTCCAGCCAAAAACACATCAGCTCCAGGGACTGGAAGCATTCTTCACTGTTACAGGGATATTGTATACTTCTTCTTTTGACTTAGTGTAGGTGTAGCTGGCCTATTTTCTGCAATCATCCCCAGTAATTACGTCAATAACAATACAGTGTGTTTCCATAAGTCAGTAAACTGACCTCTCTGGTGATTCATGTAGCTGACCTACTGTACATGCTCTTGCAGCCATGTTAAGGCCCATATAACTGTGGCATACACACAAACAGGAAGAGGTAGAAAGAGAGAGAAACTAGACATACAACATTACAGTTTGATTCAGATCCTGAGATCTGTTATGTTGGCTCCTGCCTGAGGCTGTAGGTCACTGACAGCCAGTCTTTGGATAACTTGAATTGCTCCAGCAGATGCATCGAGGTCGTTCCTTTGTTGTCTCTCATTCACCACTCTTTGTCCGTTAATGTGAACCATGTGGTTTAAATACGTTGGCATGCCCACAAACTCTTTTCCATCTCTGGTCTTCATTGACCTTCTCTGGTTCTGTGTCCTCCTTCCTGAGGTGCAGCTGCTACGAAAGCAGGCTTATCTCTCTTCTTACCTCAGGGCTGAGACATCCATGTCTGTCTAACTGCTCCAGGCCAAGGACAGCCAGATGACCTGACGTATCTTTTTATATACTTTATCCTCCCACCCATCTCTTTTCTCTGTTTCCAAGAAACATTCTTCCTTGAAGTTTCACAAGTTTAAAATATGTATTATTACTTGAATGCCACAATTCAGCAAAGTCATTGAGAAAAAATAATAATAATAAAATCTGAAAATTGCACACAAAAGAAAATCAAACAAAGTCAATATATAAAATAATTTAAAAAGTGAAAAAAAAAGTTATTAAACATCTAAAACAACCTGAATTTAAATTAAACACAATGACGGACAAATCTTGTTGAGGAAAGTCTCAGTAAGTAAGTATGGTGTAGTGATGGAACAGACACTAAAGCTACACTCTCTATGGCTTGTTCTCTGTCTTGGGAGGTGGTTGGGGAGTGAGTTTATCTTCCAGCTGTGTTCATATCTCTTTGCCAACTCAGCAATCTTTAAATCTGAATTGTGAGATCAATTTCTCAAGGTTGTTCAGGTTGGTCGCACAGTATAAAGCATACAGTCTGAATCCACTCACTTTTCTTCTAGTCATACCTCTCTGTGTCATAATCATACTTTCTGTTTTACTACATACTCTCTTCCCACTGCTGTGAGAATGCATGTGAAAAAAATGCTAAAAAGATATTAGCAGGGTAATCATGTAAAAGTGAAAGGTAAAAGAGGAGTTTATACATTCTGTTCAGACATCATGCACAGGCTGACATTTAACTCAGTTTATTCAGCTTTCTATTAATCTTGTTTGTTGACTTGTAAACAACTCCCTACATATGTTGTGGAGACAAAGATGTAGTTGACCACAAAACAGAGCCCAGAGAAAAGGTTACATTAATTTCTGTTTTCGGGAGAGACGGTGGGTTGTCTCGGCTTAATCATGCAGAACAATCTAGGGCTAAGCCATCATACAGGGCATCGTTATCAAGGCAAGCGCCTCAGCACACAGTCAGTCATTTGAACAATTCACATTCTTGGACTCGGATGTGGGCGGTAAGTGAATTCACAGTCTTCTATACAGAATGAGCAAATGGAACGACGGCAGAGATAGAGTCAAACAGCACTGGCTTTGTCACAAATTGCAAAATAAAATAAAATGAATCAACTTGGACATAGAAGTAAGCAGAGGTAGGAACACAGTTCACAGAGCTCATATATCATAGAAGGCAATATGCAATAGAGGATAAAAGGCTGGCTTAAAACAACTGTTAAGTTTAACAAACAGTAAAAATGAGATTGTAATAATTTTTTATTTTTTTTACACACACTAGTTTGGAATTAAATATTAGTTGGTTAATAAAAGTTAGTACATGTTGACGTTACGCAGATGTGTCTGTCACAAACAAGTTACATAAATACAGTAAATTAGGACACAGCTGCTGAGTCTGTACACAAATAATAAGGTTTGATGAAAACAAAAATAATCAAAAAAAGTGGTAAAACTGCTACACATGTAGACATGATGGTCTAAAAGCTGGTCTAAGAGCTTCCTCAACTTCTGTTAAGGAAAACTGCTGCATTAGTTTACACAAATTCTTTATCTTTCTTTTTCTTGGCCTGAAATAGTCAGATTTAATTGTCTTGGGTCTAAAAAATATGATAGCTATTTAAAAACTCTGTTATGCATAACTTCAAATTATAGAATAATTGAAATTCAGGTGGCACAACATCCTGGCTTTAATTGTAGCTACAGCCCTGGGTGAGTAAGGTGCTACAGAACTTGTTTTATGATCACAGTCATCTCATAAGAGTTAGTGTATATGATGCAGTCACAGTTAATCTAAAGATCTGGTTTAATGCCTCACAGCTCTGCTTCTCCATCTACTGGTAGTCTAATGGAGGAATCTGGGAGGAATCACAAATACTATAAATTCTAAATGATCATTTTATTCCAGCTTTCCCTTGTCTGTCTTCCTTACAAAAGGAAATACAACTCATGTGTGGATGTTTCTGGAAAAAAACTTAGAATTTAATTTTGCAAGACAGATAAAGCTTTAACAATAATAACAACAATAACAGACCTTCCCATATTCTCAGAGGCCAGATGTTCTTTTGTAGGCTTTCCAATCAGATTATTTTGATGTTCAAAGGAGGAGCAAAACTTGCTTTTCATCACTAAAATGTCAAATAACCCAACTCCAACTCCAACATGTACTCACTGAACTAAGTCCTGTACTCTCAAGAGCACAGGCACTAATACAACCCTTCAAGGTTACAAGTGTATTGTTTACCATTTTTCTCCTCTGTTGTGGCTTTTGCTTTGCCCTGACGTGGCTTGTAACCAGCTCAGACTGCATATAAAGAGAAAGCCCTGATTGTTGAGGCAGCTCACTCGGAGGCTTTTGGTTATTTTACATGGATCTGATCTCTGCTTGTGAACGGGCGATGACTCCTGTAGGTTTGGACACCATAGTGGCAGACCTGGTCTCCATGTCCCCAAATGCCACTGCAGTGGGATCACCAGGCATCTCAGTGGCAACCAGAACCCTAATACTGCTTGTCTGTCTGCTGCTGGTTGCCTGGAGCCAGACAGACAAGAATACTGTACCAGGTAGGTTGCTGTTTCTGTCTTTGTGCTGGTGTCGGTTCTCATACTATTTTAACCTCATCACTGAATTTGCACTGAAATACTTCTTGATTTACCACAACAGGTCCTTCTTTTTGTCTGGGTTTGGGGCCACTTCTGTCATACCTGAGATTCATCTGGACTGGTATAGGCACAGCCAGCAACTACTACAACAACAAGTATGGAGACATTGTCAGAGTCTGGATCAACGGAGAGGAGACCCTCATACTCAGCAGGTTGGTTATGTCTGTTAATCCTGATGAATAAAGTTACCAAGCAGTCAATCCAAATGTAAATGCATCATTTGTAGTTTCATTTTTCTTTACCAAAAGGGCCTCAGCTGTGCACCATGTACTGAAGAATGGACATTATACTTCACGTTTTGGGAGCAAGCAGGGACTCAGCTGCATGGGCATGTATGAGAGAGGCATCATATTTAACAACAATGTAACTCTGTGGAAACAGATACGCACCTATTTCTCCAAAGGTAACATTTTAACCGGATTCATCACGTTATCCAGTTGATTTCAGATGCTTAATATTTGACAGTCAAAAACATTTTTATATTCTGTTTCAGCCCTGACAGGTCCGGGCTTGCAGCAGACAGTGGAGGTTTGTGTCTCCTCCACACAGACTCACCTGGACGACCTGGACAAGTTGGATAATGTGGATATCCTCAGTTTGCTGCGCTGCACAGTGGTCGACATCTCCAACAGACTCTTCCTCGGTGTACCTGTCAATGGTGAGTAGGCATGCATTGGAATTTCCCCATTGTGGGGCAAATAAAGGAGTATCTTATCTTATTAATCTCTCTTGTATTATTTATAAACATGTGTATGGGTCAGTTAAGATACAGAGAATTTATCTTCCTACTGTGTTGTGTTAACCATGTGTCCAGAGAAAGAGCTGCTGCTGAAGATTCAGAAGTATTTTGACACATGGCAGACTGTGCTGATCAAACCAGACATTTATTTCAAGTTCGACTGGATTCACCAGAGGCATAAGACAGCAGCGTGAGTCACCCACTTTATCATTCATATTATCAGGCTTCTTCATTCATATACCCACCTTTAGGGTTTTTGGCTAAGTATTAGTAAGTACTATTTTAATAATCAGGTATTAAATGTCTGTTATCTCACAGCCAGGAGTTGCAAGATGCCATAGAGAGTCTTGTAGAACAGAAGAAGAGAGATATGGAGCAGGCAGATAAACTGGACATCAACTTCACTGCAGAGCTCATATTTGCACAGGTTTGTCTGAGAACTGAATCGCCTCCATTTCTTTCTCAAATTTCAAAGAAAAGCCCATTTTGTCCTTTTTTCCATTCTTCAAGCCCTTTTAGCAACCCAAATGTCAGAAATCCGCTGGTGAAATGCATTTTTTTCTGCCAAGTAGCACCATTCAACTTATTCACATTTATGTGTTTTCAGAACCATGGCAAACTGTCTGCTGAGAATGTGAGGCAGTGTGTGTTGGAGATGGTGATTGCAGCACCAGACACTCTGTCTGTCAGCCTCTTCTTTATGCTGCTGCTCCTCAAACAGAATCCAGACGTGGAGCTGCAGCTGCTGCAGGAGATAGACACTGTTGTAGGTAGGTAGCAGGGAGAATCAAAACCTAAAGACACTGTCATTGTTAAATAGCATAGCAGAGATTACGTGCTATCAAACAAGATTTAAAAGCTAGATTTAAACAATTTACACAGCAAAAAAAAATGCATTTTAACACACACATTATGTCTTAAACCAAACACTGTGCATGTAAGCAAAATGCTCTACATTGCCACTTTATTAGGTACAGTACACCTAGGTCAAACTAATGCAGTCCTGCAATATAAACGTTACAATGTTACAAACTGTTTTTTTATTGTCTCATAGGTGAAAGACAGCTTCAGAAAGGGGACCTTCAGAGGTTGCAGGTGCTGGAGAGCTTCGTCAACGAATGCCTGCGCTTCCACCCTGTGGTGGATTTCACCATGCGTCGAGCCCTGTCTGACGACATCATAGATGGCTACAGGGTACCGAAGGGCACAAATATCATTCTGAATACCGGCCACATGCACCGGACAGAGTTTTTCCTCAAACCCAATGAATTTAATCTGGACAACTTTGAAAAAAATGTAAGTAGATGTATATTTTTTTTGCCAAGTTTCAGGGTCTATTTGTAATTGTGGGACTCAAAACTAAGAGTTAAGATAACTAACTAGTGAGTAAATCTACTTTTAAAGACCCTGAAAGCCTGTTTTCTTATTCAGCTTCTTACTATAAGCAGTGAGAACCTCAAAACACTACATTTTCTGCCAAAGTTAGAACAATTTTGGATATTTCCCCTCAGATTCCTGCATATCTTTTCTCACTGGTTTAAAGTGATAAATTGAGGCCACTGTCAATAAAATCTGATCAAACCACACCAAAACAGTCCTAATTAAGCAGATTAGATTTCTGAGTGTCAAATCTTTAATAAAAAAAACCTAAGCAAGTTTTCTGTTGTTTTTTTTTGTCGTGAATAATTATAGACAAACTCTTTCCAGGGGCTTTAACTACCTCACTCATCACTCCTCTGCCCTTCTCCTCCTTCAGGCTCCTCGCCGCTACTTCCAGCCATTCGGTTCAGGCCCTCGCGCCTGTGTTGGTAAGCACATCGCCATGGTGATGATGAAGTCCATCCTGGTGACGTTGCTCTCCCAGTACTCTGTTTGTCCTCATAAGGGCTTGACCCTCGACTGCCTCCCACAGACCAACAACCTCTCCCAGCAGCCTGTAGAGCATCAGCAGGAGGCTGAACATCTCAGCATGAGATTCTTATCCAGACAGAGAGGTAGCTGGAAAACACTCTGAGACCTTTGTTTTCTTCATTTGTATCTATACATTTATAAGGAATATATACTTATATACTATATGATCTTCATTACTTCATTTATATTATTGACTGTACAAAGCTAGTTTTATATTTTCTATGTATTAAAATTGTATTTCTACTTGAACTATTATGCATTATGTGAAATGTAAGTTTAGACATGCTATTACTGAAGTAAATGTAAATTATTGTGCCAATGTTGTGTGCGGTTGTCATCTCTTTTTTGGGTATTTTCTCTTTTTTTCTGAATGTAATAACTTATATTTAAATTAGAAACTGACCCTTAGTGTTAAAATCTCTGTTCTCATTTAAAAAAATGCCCTAAACCAACACACTTCCTAAATCCAACTCCAAGTGTTAATTATTTTAGTTTTACTTTTAATTTAAGGAACACGTTATTGTGCTTTTAAGTGCTTTTCATGTACAAAAGGTGCTATATAAATAAAGTGTATTTAAATTATTAAAACACAGAATGTTATGAAAAGTGCATTTCAAATTGTGTTTATTAAGAGTAAAAACTCCAGCCATATACATGAGCAGGAATAATGTATCCATATTAGATAGAAAGAATGGAAAAAAACATATTGCTCACATTTTCTTCTTTTTGTATGTGGAAAGATTGGTCAGGAGAGGGCACTGCAGCACATAACACACTGATGCAATCCTCAGAACCGCCAAATATAGCAGCCAGTCTGTTCATTATGTTCAATTGCTCTGCCTCTGGGCAAACGTGGCAATACATTTCACACACAGATGTTTCAATTTGAATTGCTTCCACTCTCGAAACACAAGGACCACTCAGAGGATTATGCTGAAAGACCACGGGAGCTCTACTCGCTCCCGCTCCTCGATGTTTGTCTGATTGTGGGTTTGAAAGGAACAGAGTCGGAGGTATTGAGGAAGAGAAAATACACATGTAGAGAAGGTTTTAAGCTGTGCGGTGCAGTAGATCAAGAGATGTCAACCATCAGCTGTTTATCAGGGATGCAAGAGTGAAACATCTAAAATAAGACTCTCAATCTCAATGTCGCTGACATACAACCACCTAGGAGCTGCTTGTGCTGATTATAGAGAAATAAGGAGAGTCAGGAAAAACACAACAACACAAGTGCTTGATAGGCTAATCAATATCTGCAACCATTGCAACACCTAAGCAACAAGTTCACTTGCTGTGTGTGTAATTGTTTGTGTGTTTGTCATATTAATGTGTTTTTGTTTCTCTCAAATGTTCTTTTTTAAGTGCTATCTGTGGGCTCTGGTATGTGCATGTATATAGCACTGTGTGTGTGTGTGTGTGTGTGTGTGTGTGTGTTTTTTTTCTTGTTTGTGTGTGTGTGTTCCTTGCAGGTGTTGTGGGACTTAGCGAATTAATCATTATATTCTCATTAACCTCATTTCTGTCCTCCATCAGAATGGAAATCATGCCTCATACACCACAGTTGCACTGACTGAAATTCGTTAGATATATCTTTAAAGCTATAATATGTAACGTTTCCTCATTAAAATGCCTATAAACACTAAATGTTGTATATTTTGTTGAGTTGTGCTTGTACATTGTCCCAAATGTTTATGTTTCCAACAACATTCAAATCAAGAAAAATCTAAAGAATTTTATTCAGGTAACGGTGCATTTCACCGGTTGCCTGCCAATGGCGTCATATCCCCTTTGCACATG